GATCGTGTCTGAAAATTTTTTTCTCACAATATCATCAGAACGAACAGAGAAAACATACCTACCTCGTTTCAGAATTTGTATCTCAAAACTCACCCTGGAAACCACCCCCGAATAGATGGAAATTACGTAAAATTATGTGCAATGATCGTTTCTAAAAATTTTTTCCTCACAATATCATCAGAACGAACAGAGAAAACATACCTACCTCGTTTCAGAATTTGTATCTCAAAACTCACCCTGGAAACCACCCCCGAATAGATGGAAATTACGTAAAATTATGTGCAATGATCGTTTCTGAAGATTTTTTTCTCACAATATCATCAGAACGAACAGAGAAAACATACCTACCCTCTTTCAGAATTTGCATCTCAAAACTCACCCTGGAAACCACCCCCGAATAGATGGAAAATACGTAAAATTATGTGCAATGATCGTGTCTGAAAATTTTTTTCTCACAATATCATCAGAACGAACAGAGAAAACATACCTACCTCGTTTCAGAATTTGTATCTCAAAACTCACCCTGGAAACCACCCCCGAATAGATGGAAATTACGTAAAATTATGTGCAATGATCGTTTCTAAAAATTTTTTCCTCACAATATCATCAGAACGAACAGAGAAAACATACCTACCTCGTTTCAGAATTTGTATCTCGAAACTCACCCTGGAAACCACCCCCGAATAGATGGAAATTACGTAAAATTATGTGCAATGATCGTTTCTAAAAATTTTTTTCTCACAATATCATCAGAACGAACAGAGAAAACATACCTACCCTGTTTCAGAATTTGTATCTCAAAACTCACCCAGGAAACCATCCCCGAATAGATGGAAATTATGTAAAATAATCGTTTCCGGAAATTATTGGACGTATCAAGCTCCTCCCTACACTTGCCAACAGGTACAACCACCCCTTCCAGTGAAAAAAACTCATGTTTTGAAACTGATTTGCATATCTTCGAGCAATATAGTGTCATTAATTGGTATTCAATTTTATTTTTATTCAGTAAAATATTTTTTTATATAGATTTGAAGTACCACTTCAATATATTCATTCGTCTTCTCGTTGAATAATTTTTATTTTTCTTGGTACCTAGCATCAATCATCTCTGGAAGAATACTCTCTCTTTAAAATTTAATCAACTTTGGAATCATCTCATTCCATATATTTTCATTTCTGAAAATTCAACCAAACCATCAGGAGGTGCACCAAAGAATGGAAAATTAGCATCAACAAAAAGTCCCAGAAGTGCCAGGGAGGTACAACCTGTTTTGGCGCGAAGAGCTGAGTGAGTCATGTGTACAATTTGACTAAACACGCAACCGCGAGATTTGAAGATATGTTTATTATTATTTCCTCAGATCATTTTGAATGATCTTGCATGAGCATAACACAACGGAGATAGTTTCCAAGGAAGGTTTTGACATAAAAATTCTGAAAAAGGTATGTTTTCTCTCTTCGTTTAGAATTTACTGTGGGGAAGACACTTCCAGAAACGATGATTTAACATAATTTTCATCTACTTGGAGGTGGTTTCCAGGGTGAGTTTTGAGATACAAATTCTGAAACAGGGTAGGTATGTTTTCTCTGTTCGTATTGATGATATTGTGAGAAAAAAATTTTCAGAAACGATCATTGCACATAATTTTACGTAATTTACATCTATTCGGGGGTGGTTTCCAGGGTGAGTTTTGAGATACAAATTCTGAAACAGGGTAGGTATGTTTTCTCTGTTCGTTCTGATGATATTGTGAGAAAAAAAATTTCAGAAACGATAATTTCACATAATTTTTCGTAACTTTCATCTATTCGGGGGTGGTTTCCAGGGTGAGTTTTGAGATACAAATTCTGAAAGAGGGTAGGTATGTTTTATCTGTTTGTTCTGATGATATTGTGAGAAAGAAATTTTCTGAAACGATTATTTCACATAATTTCACGTAATTTTCATCTATTCGGGGGTGGTTTCCAGGGTGAGTTTTGAGATACAAATTCTGAAACAGGGTAGGTATGTTTTCTCTCTTCGTTCTGATGATATTGTGAGAAAAAAATCTTCAGAAACGATCATTGCACATAATTTTACGTAATTTCCATCTATTCGGGGGTGGTTTTCAGGGTGAGTTTTGAGATACAAATTCTGAAACAGGGTAGGTATGTTTTCTCTGTTCGTTTTGATGATATTAATAAAAAAAAATTTTCAGAAACGATCATTGCACATAATTTTACGTAATTTACATCTATTCGGGGGTGGTTTCCAGGGTGAGTTTTGAGATACAAATTCTGAAACAGGGTAGGTATGTTTTCTCTGTTCGTTTTGATGATATTGTGAGAAAAAAATTTTCAGAAACGATCATTGCACATAATTTTACGTAATTTACATCTATTCGGGGGTGGTTTCCAGGGTGAGTTTTGAGATACAAATTCTGAAACAGGGTAGGTATGTTTTCTCTTTTCGTTCTGATGATATTGTGAGAAAAAAAATTCAGAAACGATTATTTCACATAATTTTTCGTAACTTTCATCTATTCGGGGGTGGTTTCCAGGGTGAGTTTTGAGATACAAATTCTGAAAGAGGGTAGGTATGTTTTCTCTGTTTGTTCTGATGATATTGTGAGAAAAAAATTTTCAGAAACGATCATTGCACATAACTTTACGTAATTTCCATCTATATTCGGGGGGGGGGGGGGGGGTTTCAGGGTGAGTTTTGAGATACAAATTCTGAAACAGGGTAGGTATGTTTTCTTTGTTCGTTCTGATGATATTGTCAGAAAGAAATTTTCAGAAACGATCATTGCACATAATTTTACGTAATTTCCATCTATTCGGGGGTGGTTTCCAGGGTGAGTTTTGAGATACAAATTCTGAAAGAGGGTAGGTATGTTCTCTCTGTTTGTTCTGATGATATTGTGAGAAAAAAATTTTCAGAAACGATCATTGCACATAATTTCACGTAATTTCCATCTATATTCGGGGGGGGGGGGGGGGTTCAGGGTGAGTTTTGGGATACAAATTCTGAAACAGGGTAGGTATGTTTTCTCTGTTCGTTCTGATGATATTGTCAGAAAGAAATTTTCAGAAACGATCATTTCACATAATTTTACGTAATTTTCATCTATTCGGGGGTGGTTTTCAGGGTGAGTTTTGAGATACAAATTCTGGAACAGGGTTGGTATGTTTCTCTCACTCATTTTGAATATCCTATCGAATATAGATTTTCAAAAACGATGAGTTAATTTGGTTTTGATTAGTTCTGAAGATATTAATCTATATATAGGGGTAGTAGCACCCCTATTTGTGTGTATACCCCAATTCATCATTATAATCATCATATTGACGCAAAACATTTGGATCGCAATGGTTTCAGTCGATATCTGAATGTTAAAACGGAAGAATCGATGTAATAACATTTTACACCCGTGCGCATATACTATCATTTCGTTTCCGATACGGAGACCGTTTCTATTTTCACACCGGTTGTTCAAAGTGGGCAGTTCATTTTTGAAAAAGAAAGAATGCACCTGACGACGAAAGCCATTTGTCTCGAATTCATCAAGCTTGATTTCCCTCCTTCCAGTATGCTTTTTCGGGGCAGACAACCTTACTGTTCGTTTATTTTCTTTCAAATCTTACAAATAGTTGTTTTAATCGCGCCTGTCATATGAGAACATACAGATTGCCCAATCTTTACACATAGGGCATGTAAATAGCAACATAGCAAGAAAGACTGATTCAGCTGTCGGACGTTTCCACCAGTCTCCTCTGAAACATCTGAACACAATGACAACTGAAATTCATTATGCGTCCAACTGTGAAACACAACTGCTATTCTTCGTAATACCATGTTGCCAAATGCCATCCTTTTTGAATACTTCTATATGTAACGATTCGATATACAATCTGTATAGTTATCCACTGATACTTTCAAATACGTTATTTTTTCGTAGACATTGATGAAGATTGTTTTTTCACCATATAATCTCCAGAAGTTCAAAAAAAAATTCCAATACCTACCCCCTGTCCCTATCCTCCCTAGGAACGCACGGTGTTCTTTGAACATTATAGGGATTTCCTTTCGTGCGCTCCAAGCGATAAAAAAAATAGAAAAGTCGGCGACCTTCCACTTTTCTATAGATACTTCTAAGGCAAATCTCTGCCATTCAACTTCATTCAAGGTGAATCAGGATACTTTCCATTGTTTTATAAGTATATATAAGTAATAATAAAGTAATAATATACAGGGTGCCCAATTTGAAAAAAAAACTGAGTTTCATTCATTTTCATGAGTCCCTGAAAGGAAGTTACTTCTGAATGTATGCTGTATGCTGAAACTGTGATCCGGTTCATAGAAAAAATTCTCAATGCTACAGATAGGTATGTGGAATTATCAGGAAAAATTATGGGGAATCTCATGATTCCAAAAATGACATGTAATATACAGGGTTATCCATTTGAAATAACAAAGTAGCTACTACTTCCGGATATAAGCGGCAACACTGTATTGATGAAAACATTTTAGGCGGATTGAGCATGCTTGATTATCCACGCCCACAACTTTTCGAAATGATGTCTTTAGGTTTTCCAGATACGTCTAATATTCCATCCACCGTGAAACACCTTGTATAAGCTACCCGCTGTTTGTGCTGACCAGACAACAAATTATTTTCGACTTTCCTCTAAATGACAACGGTTTTCGATTTCTTTTAGGTCAAGCCAAAACACCAATTAATGGTACGCCCATGCTGGGCGAATTCCTTTGCTTTGCCTTCTGTAATCTATAATCCAGTAGTACAACAAAATTCAGCATTTACAAAACTTATTCTGGTCTAACCTGACTTTACAAGTGGGTGCTGACTCATGTATACCCTAATACTACTGCATAATAAAATATGAGCCATTACAAAACTCATGCACTTTTTTGTCACCAGACAAATAGATGATTTTATTACCCATACATTTTTTACCAATTATTCAATATTCATGGAATAAATCTGATATTGCAGACTTTGAGAGTGATCTGGAAGAAGATGAAGTGGAAGATGTTATTGATAGAAAACATTGGGACAGATTTGAAGCCCTTCATCGTGAATTGGCTGCAATGCCACCATGTGGCTACAAGATGAAAGATGGTGAAATGGTCACAAAACATGATGGCGTTATGAGTGGTATGAAGAATGCTTGTAAATTACTTTCATTTCCTCCTGAATTCCGGACTGGAGATGGAGAAAACTTTGATCTGAAATTGTCAAATAAAGTTTTCAACAGGTACATTATTATCTTCCTCTCTTTCAATGATATTCTCTTGCCAAACTCAGCATTTATTACATTATCTTTTCACATAATATGTGAATTTTAATACATTATACTTTTGGACATTGAGTTCGAACAATTATACTCACCGGCAAAAAACGGCCACCCTGAAATACTTGCCCTGAACCGTATTTTAATCACTAAATAAATAGTTCACAGTTATTATTTTTAGAGCGGTCACTACTAGAAATTCTCGTTGACATTTCGCGAATAATTGATCTCCATCTTCCAGTAAATTAGAGTATTCTTTAGAAGTACCGTTTCCATATACAAGTCGTAGCTTGGCGTCGCAAAATATACATTTAACCCTTCGTTAGTGTGCTGGGGTATGTCATACCCCAACACCCAGATTAGCACCGCTAAAATGAAATGTTCACACTTTAGCGACCTCTTACGCTCAGTAGCTTAAGATCGTACATATTTTGACAGAATAGACTCATTTGCGTAGGTCTACAAACTTTCAGTTCGAAGTAAGGTGTCGTGATAGGTGGTTGGGGTACACTATACCCCAGAACACTACTAACGTAACTTTCTGTGTATCTTGATTTTGTAGGTAAGTTACTGATTTCCATTGTGTTTTTCGGAATTTAGTGATCATTTTGACAATGTTTTTAGCAAAATGTCATATGAAGAAAACCAACGAAATCTTCAGAGATTATGGGAAGAGTTTGGTGATATTTCTGATGTGGAATCATTCATTGATGATGTGTCCGAAGACAATGAAGAAAGAGCCGTAGGAGAAGAAGAGGCAAGAATTATAAATGAAGAAATAGCACAGTCAGATGAAGACACGGAAGACAGGGATGAGGGATCAGAAGAATCAAGAGAACAATATATTTTTTAGATAAGAATAAATTGAAATGGTCAAAGTTTCCCAACAATAGAAACGTAAGAACAAGATCTGACAATATAATAACCCATTTGCCTGGTGTGAAGGGAATGGCACGAGGAAAAAATACTGCGCTTGATTGTTGGCTATTATTTTTTACAGAAGATATGCTGGATGATATTGTTCGATATACGAATGTCAAATTGGCAACTAAAGCCACTGGATATGATTCAAATCATCAATATTTAGTCAAAGTGACTGATAAAACAGAAATCAAAGCTGTTATTGGTTTACTGTATTTGACAGGGTTATATAAGGCAAACCGACAAAATATTGCAGATCTTTGGAATACCGATGGTAGTGGCATAGATCTGTTTCGTACAACGATGTCACAACAAAGATATCATATTTTGTTACAATGTCTACGATTTGACAATATACACAATAGAGAGCAACGCAAAGAGATTGACAAGTTGGCAGCCATTAGAGGAATTTTTGATTGTTTCGTTGACAATTGTAAGGCACACTATACACCCAGTGAATACCTTACAATTGATGAGAAGCTAGAGTCATTCAGGGGACGGGTTTCATTTCTTCAGTACATACCCAATAAGCCCGCAAAATATGGTTTGAAGGTATTCGCCCTTGTCGACGCGAGAACCTATTTTTGTCTGAACATGGAAGTATACGTCGGCACTCAGCCAGAAGGACCTTTCCGAAAAAGCAACAATCCGCAGGATATAGTTCAACGTTTGATTGAGCCAGTATCTGGAACAAGACGCAATATTACTTTCGATAACTGGTTTACGAGCTACCCTCTCATGATCAATCTACTCGAAACGCATCGTCTTACATCGGTTGGGACAGTCAGGAAAAATAAACGACAAATTCCATCAGCTTTCCTAGATATACGAACCAGAGAACCTCGCAGTTCAAGGTTTGCCTTCAAAAAAGATATCACGGCTGTATCATACGTGCCAAAAAAATCGAAGAATGTCATCCTTTTTTCTACCCTCCACCATGATGACACAATAGTTGAAGAATCTGGTGATAAAAAATTGCCTGAAATTATCGACTTTTATAATTCCACCAAGGGTGGCGTTGACACTCTGGATGAGTTATCTGCTAATTACAGCGTAGCCAGGAACAGCCGCCGCTGGCCTCTGACTTTATTTTTTTCATTTTTGAATACCGCCGGAGTAAATGCACAAGTTATCTACAAATCAAATACGCAGAACTTACATATGAAAAGACGTATATTTCTGAAAGAACTTGGTCTACAACTGATATCTGAATTTCGGAACCAGCGAAGACAGAACCCTAGATTGCGCCGAGGACTACGAGAGAGCCAGCCAGCAGAACGTCATGAACCTTTATCTAAACGACGCAGGACAAGCAGTAGATGTTCTGTTTGTCCAAGAAACAAAGATAGAAAAACATTTTATGTCTGTATGCAATGTGATATTCCACTTTGCATGGAGCACGCATTTTTGAGCTGTGAAAATTGTGCCAAATTAGAATAGCTATAACTTTTTTACTTTTGGTGATAATATTTCATTTTTTGTTTTGTTTTATTCGTAGGGCTTTTTTCTAGAATCGTTTGTCAGTTCCTTCCAAAGTTATCAGTTTGAAAATATGTTACGTTCAATAATGCTTGCCTATGTTTTTTTAGGAGCTGAATTGGTATTGTTTCCACTTTATATTCATATTTTTCCAATAAAGATCCTTTGAAATGAATTCAAATTTTTATTCGACCGACAAATAGGTAAAGAAACATATTTTATCAATTTAACAACCAACATTAAATTTTTTTTTGCATTCTAAATATATTTTGGTTTGGGGTATGACATACCCCAGAACACCAACAATGTAACTTTTTTCCGCCACACTAACGAAGGGTTAAAAGGTGTCCAGACAGTCACCTGCCAAACGAAAACTACACATACTGGACGTTATCTTAAGGGGTTCAACCTGAAGGACCTTATACCAAAAATGTTTCCTAGGGGAGTAAACTTTTTTAAAATACATCGAAAAGTGCTACTTATTAATTATTGCGACCATAAACAGAGAAACACAGTTATTCACATTAGAATATGTAGCCAGATACATATTTTTTTTATTTGGAAATGCTCCAGAACCTTGGACTCATAGTTTCGTGACGCAACGGCGACTACTGAGGAGGGCAAATATAATAATATAAGTATTCAACGGCGACTACTGAGGAGGGCAAATATAATAATAAAAGTATTCAGAATTAAATACAAAGGACCCTGCACTTTTCCTATATAAAAATGGCGTTCTGTCAAATTTTATGAATTTCTGGTATATCAGTACTTTATTTATTGCCATTAACGTGATTTCATATTTGATACATAATAATCATCAAATTATTTATTGATTTAAACTTGAGCTACATCTAAGTAACCACCACATATTGTGTGTATTATGTTATTCACAACTTTCATAACTATATTTTTTCACAAACTTGATTGAAACATTCATAGCCAGTGATAGTTTCAACAGAGGCTCTGAAGAAAATTGGCGCAAATGCTGGCAGGCATTGTATGACAGTGATATCTCTTAATTGTTTCCACTCGTCTTTATTTGAACTCTTTTTATACGAGGTGTTTTTGGTGTGATTAACGATAAATTTCATCTTGAAAATTGAATGAACATGGGAAAAAATATCAAGTACGCCACGTCACGTCAATTTAAATGATTGAACGCCGTGTGACTGGGCCTTCTGCATGGAAATTTATTCAGAGGTGACGTCAGACTTGATACAGTGTATAACTTTGGATGGAAAAAGATGTCCCACACCAAATTTTATTTTGATCTCCATATTTTTTTATGGTTGCTATTCAACAGTATACATCAAACTTCCTTAGGATTTGAAATATTTTTTGTATATTATTCAATTCCACCCTGTATTACTTTTGATGATTTGTTTTCTGTTTAGCTTGAAAATGTATTCCAAGCGCGGAGAAGCACGAAGGTATAAAGTCCATGATAAAAAGGAAGATCATGCTACCGCTGAATTCGGTATGGATGAATTTACAAGGATATTGCTTTATAAAATGATTAATAACCAACTCTTGGAGAGGGTCAATGGAGTTATTAGTATAGGTAAGGTATGAAAATGGTATCAGTAAACAAAATACTAAAAATTTTATAGTTATAGTTGCAAGATATTGTTTTTTTTATGTTCTGGTTCCCACAAAAAGAGATATCCTGTAATGTTCAGAGAACATTGTGAGAACCAAGGGAAATAAGGTAGGAATTGGTGTTCTTCTTGAATTTATGAAGGTTATATGCCTCGGGGAATACCTCCCTTGGCAATGTGTTCCAGAGCCTCGCTGTTCGTTGGATGAACGAGTCTTTGGAAAGAGATGTTCTGTAGGTCTCCAAAGTGACCACGAAGGGGTGCGAAGCCTCAACTCGACGGGTTAGTCTCGCGGGGACTGCCAAGGGAGGTACAATTGTTGATATTTCAGAAGAGCATCGTTATTCGGGTGCAGAAGCGAACACGACACTATTTATTTTAGAACTAATTTATTTTAACTAAAGGAACACTAATTAATATCGAACTTATAACTACTATAAATGTAAAACGATTTATATCACACGGTATATGACTGTCTCTCTGACACTCGCTGCTTGACTGACTGACGGCAGTTGTCCGGCCGTCCTTATATATCAGATCCCTTGGCAGACTTTGCTTCTCGAACGTTATCGAATGATCTTCCGTAACCTTCTTTTGCTCTAGAAGCTTCTAGAACAATATCTCCCTCTCTCTCTAATTGTTCCATCGATTGTTTCGAGATGATTCCAGATTCTTCTCTCAGGTTATGTGACGCCGTGATCGTTGTACCCCTACCTTCCTGATGATGTTCTATAGCCCATTTAAGGTGAATATCATTACAATATATTTTCGGAAATAAATATTGATGCTCATTATACTATACAACGCCATGGTGAATTTATGACTCAGTTTGCGAGTCACAAGTTCAGGAAAACAAGAACACTGCATATACCATTCTTACACGTCTAGACCATACATAGGAAAACATAAATATGGACTGGGCAACAATTCTAGAATGGGGATCTAATAACTTGGTAGATTTCAATGCAAACGAAACACAAGCATGCCTTTTCTCTAGAAAAGCCGATCTCACTGTGCCCAACATAAGCTTGTCAGGAGTAACCATACCTTTGACTACATCCATTTCGATGCTTGGGATTACTATCAGCAATAACCTTTCTTGGGAAAATCACGTGAGATCAATTGCTAAAATTGCATCCTAAAAACTTGGTTTTCTGTTTCTGGCCAGGAGCTATTTCACTTCCAGTCAGCTGCTTATGATCTATTTGGCACAGATCCGACCTGTCCTGGAATACTGTTCCCATATTTGGAGTGCAGCACCCAAACATCCCCTGAAACTGTTGGATTCTGTTCAAAAAAGGGCAATTCGTCTCGTGGTTGATGCGTCGCTCACAAACTCACTCACTTCTCTGGAACACCGTAGAAAAGTTGGCGATCTAGCTCTATTTTATAGATATTTTCATGGATGATCCTCTTCTGAAATATCAACAATTGTTCCTCCCTTGGCAGTCCCCCGAGATTAACCCGTCGAGTTGAGGCTTCGCACCCCTTCGTGGTCACTTTGGAGACCTGCAGAATATCTCTTACCAAAGATTTTTTCATCCAATGAACAGCGAGGCTCTGGAACACTTTGCCAAGGGAGGTGTTCCCCGAGGCATATAACCTCCAGAAATTCAAGAAGAACATCAATTCCTACCTTATTTCCCTTGGTTCTCACGATGTTCCCTGAACATTACAGGATATCGCTTTTCGTGGGAACCAGAACATAAAAAAAATAACCCGTGCTAGCCCCGGCTGCGACTGATTATAAGATAAATTGACATCTAATGGTGCTCACTGCTTGAAATTGGCCAAAGATTGCTTTTCCTTTCCTATTAAAACGAAATTCCATACTCATGACTTGAAATTACTGCTGAAACTGTAACATTATTACTCTGAACTCTAATTCTTTCAAGAATTTGAAGTTTGGTAGACTTTGGTATCTCAGTCCAGATGATCTGTTTTCTTTTCCAAAATGTTATGTCTATTTTTCTGTAACCTCAACCTTGATATGTTGCTAAACCCATTTCAAAATCACATAGATTACAATAATTATATGAAAAATAACAAATCTCCCAGGAAGAAAAGGTTTGTGGAAGTGAAATTGGTTAGGTTAGTACTTCCTATTGATGAAATATATTTTTCTCTCAAAACAGTTTCGCTAAAAATGACAAAACTTAAGAATCAATGGATAATTTTTTTCAGGTAAGGAGGCTGTGATACTTCACGCAGATGCAGACCCAACTTTTCAATTTGCTACTGAAGAAAGTCCGAAAGAATGTGCTATAAAAGTCTTCAAAACTACTCTTTCTGAATTCAAACAACGCGACAAGTACATCAAAGATGATCATCGTTTCAAAGATAGAATCGGCAAACAAACTGCCAGGAAAACTGTCCATATTTGGGCTGAGAAAGAAATGGCCAATCTTATGAGACTCAAAAAGGCTGGAATTCTTTGTCCACAAGTTGTTACTCTCAAGAAACATGTACTAGTCATGTCTTTCATTGGAGAAGATCATAAGCCAGCACCTAAGCTGAAAGATGTGAATGCTAATGTGATGAAAGAGTCTGGATATATTACAGCATATAATCAGGTGAGTACAGAAGCAAACTAACTAAAGTTGTTGGTTGCTTGGTAAGTGAAATTATTGTACAATTCAGGTCCTGGATTAAGAGATAAATTGAATCTAAAGTAAAATCCAATTCTTTATACATATTTCGAAAGTTTTTCAAATATGAACTTGACATGTATTTGGAAGAAACTGTTTCTACATTGACAAATATTTTGTAAACGGAAGAAGTCCATAATCATCAGCCAAGGTTTATAACGTCATGGGAATGAAAAATGTTCTTTGAACTTGTTGAATCTTATTAAATTCAAATGGTAAACATAGTAAAATTATAATATAAAAAACAGGTATTTTCATTTTAAGGGTACAGGCCCCTCTCATAATTAAATAATAATTTTATCAACTAGAAATAAACTAAAGGGATTCCCAATGAAGGAAAGAAATTGAACTGAGACATTTTTGATATCTTATAAATACACTATAACTATATATTTACAAACTGACATTTCATCTGTCTAAGACAGATATGATAAAAAAATTCGGAAACATACGACCGTAACTACGCCATTTCTTAACAAAATTCAAAAATAATGGATTAATCTGGAATAGTGTTCCGAGTTTTGGATGTTTCATCAACTGGGGTTCCAAAGAAATAATTGATATAAACCTTATTTCAACATTCTCTATCTCAGAGAGGATGCATATCAGGATATTCGTTGATAGGAACTTTCCACTTCAAAATGAGGTAATGAATCAGTATATGAAGTTTGTCTGTCTCATTCTGAGCCACCCTGTGAATTTTTGTACTTAACATCAGACTCTGCATTCCAGAGCAACTAAAGCCACCACGGAGGTGGAGTCTGCTGACCGAAACCATAAATGTACGGCTGGCTTTTTTTAGTTGACTCTGTTGATTTGTTGTTTCGACTTCCACCCGTCTATCAAGTGTTGCCCATCCTTTGAACTTTTTTCCGTACTGATGAGGGCTGAAAGCCCAAAACACGTGTCTGCGGTTGACTCTTTGTAAGGGCTTCGATAGTCCTTCCATCCATATCATTAGTTCTAACTAGTTTATGGAAGTTGTTATCCACACGCTCAAAAGGATTGCTGCTGATACTGTACTCTTGATAAACATACAACTTGGGGTATTAGAGTTCCTAAATATTCTTGACACTGCTGTTTTGACGTTTTTTGTATATTAGAGTACGGACACTAGACAAGCAGTGACAATCAAACATAACCACAAACGATTTTGAAGCAAATCATATGTTTTGCCAGACAAGGACAAGAATATGATTTTCGCTTAGATAAAGGATCTTCGCATCTTCCTTCCTCCACAAGTCCTGGGAAGAGTACATCCATATATCTTTCTCTGTCTTTGATTTTTGGTTGAGAGTGCATAGCGTCTCCTCAAGTGGGTAAAAGGGTACGATAAATTGATTAGGAAATTATTTCTTCTATGATTGAATAATAAGGCTGAAGGACCTAAATGGAGGTCGATATCAAGTTGGTATGTACATATATACCAACGAATACATAATATACTATTGTAGTTGAATAATTTTTTTTTACAAAAGTTCAGGATGAAGTAAAAACTGATAGATTTCAACCTATGAAACATACTTTTATTTCGTATGGAACAATTTCACTTGTACAAGAGTGGTAGGTAATAAGTAATTAATGAATAAACAAATGATACGGCAACAATAACAGCTGATTTCAGTTAGTATAAATAATATAGGTTCTCCAAGACATACGGAAGTAGGTATAAATGGACTTCAGCGCTCGACTCACTATAGATCGCCGTTCACATTGCTAAAGAGGATTGTTGGTTTGAACCCGGCCATCGGTAGATTATTTTTAATACCTAACATAAATGGTGCACTCGTTGAGCGTTCTTGTTCTGTGCTCTGATAATATCTTGCTCGTATCTTGTTACCCAAGAAGTGGTTCAAAATCCACTAGGAGCTAAGTAGTGGTCTAGAGCACTGCTCAAAATTGCCTGGGTATTTGCTTGTTCAATTTTCTTGTATTTCTCTGAAGATATTTGCTGATTTTGTTTCAAATCTGAAATAATTTTTAGGTAATAGTTCTGAATTTTGCTAACTCTGACTTTTGTATCTAAATCTTTTTGCTTTAACTTATTTTCCAACTCTCTATTTTTTTCTTCTATTTGTTTCCTGAATTCCTCACTCTCTTCCACTCGTAAACCTTGGATTTTTGAATATTGCTACTATGAAAATTCGATTCCCAAGTCTTTTTTTTGAATATGTTCGAAATGAATTTCATTATCTGCAAGTTTTTTGTTTCTTTTTAGTTCTGAATTGGAATATGGTTCTTTTCGATACTCGCTCAGTTTATAAAATGTGAATTCGGCTATTTCTCTCAGTGAATTGTTCTCACAGTTGGAAACTGCACAAACTTGCATCTTTTTCATAATTCTCTCAATTTGTCAAACCTTTGAAATACATGTCATGTACGTCCGTGTACTGTCAGTTTCCGCTTATTTCATCAATTTATTTGTGGGGAACTCTAGAAGGTATAGGAAGAAGCTGCAGGTTTTCAAGACTGATTTCAACCTCTACAATGCTACGTTAGCGTTGGCTGCTGACTATATGCGACTGAAATTAAGAACATAACGACGACTATCGGAACTACTCTATGTACTGAAATATGCCATATATCGCTCCAAATATTAACCAAATCGAACATTGACTATTTCCGTGTGGCATGCTGTAAACTACCTAGCAGACTGTAGGATTTTGATGAAAATGTATGAAATGTTTTTTTGTATTTGTTGCAGGTGATTGATGCGATGAAGACAATGTACGAAAAGGCAAATCTTATTCATGCTGATTTATCTGAATACAACATACTTTGGTACCATAAGCAGTGCTACATAATTGATGTCAGCCAATCAGTTGAACCAAGCCATGAAAATGCCTTCAATTTTCTATTCAGAGACTGCACTAATATAATAAATGTGAGTTTAAAATGTATTTTGGCTATCAGAAAAAGAAATAGGGAACAGTGCCCTAACACAGTTTATACATAATATGAATTCATCAACAGTTACAATACTGAAGTTACACATACATTTCATAAAAAGTATACATAACTTGAAGTGGGCATGTTCAAAGTATGATTATTTCTATAGATTTTTTGGGGTCATCTCGTTTCTATAGATAATAATGTTAGTTTAATTTCCTATATGCAAGGTAATAGACGACGAAATACCAAAATAACATGAAGTATACATTTTTGTTGACTAAAATTATTGAATTATTCTTAACATACTGAATTCAAAGACTTTAAAATTCATCTGAACCCAAAAACTTTGGGATAATGAATGCAATCAACCAAAGTTAGAAGCACTGGAAGTGTCAACGACTTTTACAATATTGCCACACTTTCAGTGATACCTACTTGAACAATGTGGTATGGTGAGACCGCACATTTGGATTTTTTCTGTGATCCATTTTATCATGTATTTCACAGCACCCCACCCTGTCCATAACTTCGACTTCGGAAACAAGGTGTCACTGACTATTAGTAAACAATTTCTCATACAAGTTTGTAACACTGATATATTATTTCAATGCAGTGACAGTGACTATTTTAGTAAACAATTTCTCTTCTAGGCTTCTAGTAGTGATATTCTGGCTGATTTTTCATTGATACAAATGTATTCTGAAATAATACTAATATTTTTTTTGTGAAACGAGGAGAGAAAACCCCAAAAAATCTTCATCATCATTACTTGAAATTATTTGATCTCCATTCGTTGGGGATAACTCACAAATTCTCCAAAAACGGTAACAGATAGTCGATATACAAAGAAACACTTGCATCAGTATTCGTTTATATGAATCGATAAATAGAATTCGGGAGGATGTAATTCAATGTTCTGCGTGGCATATAGCCAGGAAAGTTGTTGTTTTCTCCCGTCATCTACCATTGTTGTTCATTTTTTGAACATTTGTGAAAGGACCCCCGCACTTTTTCTATATAAAAATGGCGTTCCGTCGAATTTCCCCAATTTTTGGTAAATGATAGTACTCGACATACTGATTGAATATGCCAAGTCCCAACTCAATCCTATGACTAGTTTACGAGATACAGGGTGTTGAAGTTGAAGAATACCTAATTTTTCTCGGCCTATATCTCTAAGATAGGACAAATGAATTCCAATTTTTCGGGAGCACGTAATAGTTATGCCCTTAGGCGCAAGAACTATATAGGTATTCGACCAAAACTGATTTTTATTACAGGGTGATTCTCATTTCAAATAATGTGTTTTTTTGAATATCTGAATATCAATGCTACAAATTGATAACAATTACAAAATGAGATTTATAGCCAAGTATGCTCTTCTTACATCAATTGAATTCGTAAAATATAATAATTATACATGGTGTTTCATTAATGCTGTTGATTGCATAATTGGTCTATCCTAAAGTTCATTGGGCCACCTCGTATTATCGGGTTGATTCCAGACATTCAAAATATTTTTGAAGGATGTATCCCAATGAGTTCCATGATATACGATTCATCGATTGAAAAAATTGACAACCACGAAAAAATATTCAAAAACCACTATTTTTTTCATCACCCTCTAATTCGAAATTATTACCGTCGATGTAAGATTTTTTTCCACCAATATACTCAGTATGGATATTTCAATCAAATTGGGAATTTTCAGACCCATGCTATGACTAGTTTTTTTTATACATCGAATAATGTGAAAATAATTATGGAAAAGTAATTACATAATAACACGAAAAATTGCTCCGAATCGCAAAACTAGTAGTCACTAGTCAACTATGTCAAAAAATGTGATTTGTTCGTAAACAAAATCTAGTGGTCTTATTATAGGTCCGCTAGCAAAACATCTCGAAAATGTTTTTCAGAAAACATCAAACAAATCACAATATGCCCCCGAAAAAATATCATCAACGACACAACTCATCAACGATCCCACTCATATAAACGTGCTAAAACTCATGAGCGTTCCAAGTCGACAGCGGTTTTTCCCAACTCAATCCTATGACTATACATCTATGACTATACTTTTCGAAAAAAATATGAAACTAAACTTCCGCAAACGCCTAGTGAGAGGTGCGCGTTAATATATTTTGCAACTCTCCTTTATCCAACCAACTTCCAATCTTTTGATCATACTGTATATTGTTAGAATCGAAGTTAGTATATGCACATCGGAAAGACACTAAAGTTGGAGTTTTGGTTATGTAGATATTCGTTACCGGGTTCAGTATAGACTTGAAAGAAAAATGGAATACAGGAACATCAGTAGGTACCGAGGAATCATCATTTATCCAACACATCAAAAATATAGTAAAATAATAATGAAACAATCTCGAAGCCTCTTTCTTCCACTCAATATCAATTCAGAATTGCAATCATAGATTTTGAAAAAATACATGAACCAACTCGTTTTCCAACATCTATTTGTTGGAAGAAATAGTGGCATTAGGTAATGTATATCGTAAGATATACATACCGTAATAGATCGATAGACATCCTCAAATAACTATAAAATTATATTTTAGGGTAAGTTCTAGTCCCAATTCAAGTTGACAACTGATATTTTCGGAATCGGCGGGGTCGAATTAGTCTAGAAACTTGGGTTGTCACGAATTAATAAGTATGTTTTACTTCGTAGAAGTCGAATTTGGATTATCGCAACCAGATAGAATATTTTTCAGTAGGCTTAGAAAACAAAATCATGATATCAATAAATGTGTCTGTCATCCAGCAACTTTCGGGTTGTCAGTATCTTAAAATATCATATCAGCGTATATCTTTATTCTGAGTGTTTTTTAAGTCGTTTTCAGTAATTGTTTAGTGAATTTAGTGCGCATTATGGCATTTGCAAATAGGGTAAGATGTTATGTATGCGAAGGGAATTTCATTCCTAGACTCACAATTCGTATAAATCGTGAAGATAATGTTGATTTTCTGCAAATTGCAACATTTAGAAGACAAGCTGCTGGAAATCCTCCAATTGACATTTTTGATGATACCAGAGTTTGTTTCAATTGTCATAACAGTGTAATAATTGATATCAATGAGATGGAAAATAACCCAAACTGTCTTCGCCTAAATGTATTGAGTCCAGTAATGAGCCGTGCCTGCATAATCTGTAATGCTCGTCAACATGTTCAGAGAATAACTCTTGCATGTAGGGTGAACATTTTTGTTGTAACGAATATTTATGTTCCGGACTTTCTGAGAATTTGTGGTCATCATCTTGACCCTCATGGATTTCTCTTGAATAATTTGCATGGAGGTTTGAATTTTATCAACAAACCCTATTTGATATCAAATATGCTTCAATTTCTACAGTGTATGAGAACAGTTGCCAATGAAAATAGACGTATTAGAAACTGGGATGATATTGATAGTTTTACAGAAGAAGAGTTCAAAGCTCTGACGTCGATTTCAAAAGAAGATTTTCAAGAACTTTATGGATTTTGTGATACAATCGAGCAAGGGGGAAATAGAAGGCATATCAAAAAGAAACATTTACTGACATTTCTAATCAAAATGAAACATGGAGTTTCAGATGAGTTTTTGAAAATCTTGTTTCATTTTTCTTCAAGACAAACAACTAGCTTGATAATATCGAATGTGAGGATATCTCTAATGCAAAGATTTGTAACTAATAATATTGGTTTCGACTCTATTACAAGAGACGATTATATTAATAGACACGTGTCTGTATACACCAATCAGCTATACAACCCTTCTCCCAATATCCCAAAAGCAATTGTGTATATAGACTGTACATATAACAAAATAGAAAAAAGTAGTAATTTCCGGATATTGAGACAATCCTACTGCTTCCATAAAAATGAGCACCTGGTTAAGCCTGAAATTATGGTCGCTCCTGATGGCTACATCTTGGCAATTAATGGTCCATACTTTTCTGATGCTAGAAATAATGATGCCACCATTCTGCAGCATGAGCTACAGAATGATATAAATAGAATGAGGACATGGTTTCAAGAAGGCGATGTAGTGATAGTCGATAGGGGTTATAGGGACTCTATTGGTCTTTTACAGGATCTTGGTCTCCATTACCATATGCCACCATTTCTACCACCAAACCAAAGACAACTCACAACAATCGAAACTAATAGGGCACGCTTAATTACTAGCACCAGATGGATTGTAGAGGCTAGAAATGGGCATTTCAAATCGATTTTCAAATTTTTCCGAGGAGCGATATCAATAACACATGTTGCAAAATTACGCGAATTCTATTTGATTGCTGGCGCCCTAATAAACAAATACCATCCTCCAATAAGGATGCCGGGCACATTGGAATTAGCTACACAAATGTTGCATGATATCGAAGAAGTCAACATTGTTCAGGCCCGAGTTGAGGCTGAAAACCTCCGTACAAGAAATGGTCGATGGTTTCGTTTGAACCATAGACATGTACCGACGTTTCCTCGACTTGACTTAGAATATTTGAAAACACTCACAGGGTCATATCACATTCACTTAGCTGCCTCCTACATACAAGACACGATACAAAGAGATGGAGGGGAACAAAATACACTCGATATTGACGAACTCATTGAGGAACCCAATTTTTTAAGATTTCGAGTATTTTCTCGGTTCAGAAATGCCACTAAACATATGCTGTGGTTAGTATTCAGAGAAATCGATGATAATAATTTACAAGATCCGCCCATTTTAGGGTACTACTGTACTTGTAGGTCCGGTGCTAGAACATTAGGGACGTGTGCACACGTAGCCAGTGTGGTATGGTTCCTTGGATACGCAAGAAACCAAGGAAATATTACCTTTCCATCTGATCGCCTTTTGAATTGTATCGACGATGCTGCAAATCGATTGAATCCTGAAAATATGAACATCGGTCCGGAACTGATTTGAATCTGGCGATTAGTTGATTTCTGTGTTCCTTGTGAAACATAATTATAGTAGTAGTAG